TTCATAACAAATGCCAACACTATTCATTGCAAAAGCATCATCTAAATCAGCAGATTTCTTATAATATTCGAATGATTTCTGGTAATTTTTCTCTACTCCAATTCCATAATAATAACAATGACCAACATCTTGCATCGCAACTGGATTTCCTAACTCAGCTGCTCTCATATAATATTCAAAAGCCTTCTTTTCGTCTTTCTCAACACCAATACCATATTCATAATCGTAACCAAGTGAACGAAGTTGTTTAGAATCCATTTTTTTAAAAAAAAATTATGCCAAGATAAAATGCAAAATTTTAATTGTTTGGAGTGCGGCGGTGGACATTTAAAGTTTATTTAATGTGGTACAAAGTTACATCAATAAGGTCGTTTTTGATATCATAATTTTAAAAATTTCCATATCTGTCTGCATGCATATTTGTATTTTAGTGCAACAAAACTAAAAATACCAGTACCAGGAACGGAGTAGAGACCCCAGATTATGCGATTTGAAATGCGATGTGATAAATTCAAATTGTGCGATATTTATGTAAGGAACCTTATACATATTTATATTGTTCTAACTTTGATTTATCACTCATAATGTGATAATTATGAATTCGTGTTATAAAATTTACGAAGGAAAAAAATTTTAAAATTTAAAAAAAAAAATTTAACAACCGAAAAAAAAAAATTACTAAAAAAAAAAATGGTTACAAATTATTTAAACTGCCCTATTAAAATAAAGTAAGTTTAACATCGACAAAAAATCTTGTGAAAGGTTATGTCGCCTATCACTTAAAATATTTTTATAATTGCTAAAACTCCATTCTACATCAACACCAGATACAGGTAACCAGATATAAAATAATGCGATTTTTGAAAGAGAAGGTTAATTGTTGGATTTTTCTTTCCAATATTTATCCAAGTTTAAGTTTTCATCTAATTCTTCACCAAGTTTGCAATAAATGTTCCATTCATTTAACAAATTATCACTTAAATTTTTAAATTCTTTTATCATAGTATAACATTTAATATCTTGTCGCAATATTGAATACCAAATAAATTTAGGGTCAAAGCATTGTATAGCATTAAAAAGTAATAATACAGAATGGTTATCAACATGTTTTGTAAGCTTGTCAAATGATAATTAAAAAGCTTATGAAAAAATTGAGTTAAAGAACATTAAATTTAGATTCTTTTCTTGAATCTTGTTGTACATAAATGCATTAAATGGTAGATTTTTGATACCCGCTTGTAACATAGCATGGGTTTGATTAATTCTTGAAAAAACATGAGGGTATATTGCATATTTTAAAGAATTCCAAATTCTGAATTAAGCTAATTAATATGTATAGCTTATTAGTAATTATATTTCCATATATATATAATATTATATATAATATTCTTACCATTGAGCATTTAAGAAAATAAATTCAATAATTAATTTGATTATTGGGATATTTTCATGATTTGAAAAAAAGTTTGGCTAATTCTTTAACTGATTTTGGAGAATTATTAAATGTATTTTCCATATTAAAAAATTAAACAAGGTACAAGAAGTATAGTTTAATCCAGATAACAAAATTAAACTAGCTATTCTAGTGAGTTTTTACAAATAATAGAGACAATTGTAAACCAATATCAGAAGATTCTAAAAATGAATCTAACAAATTCGATGAAGCAAGGTTTGAAGAAAAAAATTTTAACCATCTTCTTTATGAGTGGAAGAATGAGAAAAGGCATTTTTGATATTAGAAGATATGCATGTAAGAAGCTTAAAGTTGTTGAAATATATCTAGCAATCCTCAACTAAACTTAAAATATGAGCAAAACAACAATTGTGTTTAAGTTGAGATATTAAATGAACTAATATATCCGAATAGGTCTTTTTTATATATGTAGCATTTTCACTAATAAATAAAACAACATTAGCAAAAAGAATTTTATAAAAATTTAAAGCTGGCAATTTTATCTAAATAAAGCTAAGTGCCAGGGACCTAAGTGATAACTTTAATATTAAAAAAAAAAAAAAAAAAAAATTAATTTATCTTCAATACAATATTCTTTAAAAAATGATTACAATTTATTAATTTTTTCTAGTAGAATATTAGTTTTGACAAATGCTTTGGCTAATACAATATTAATATCTTGTTTTATTATATTACTTGAAGAAACTTCTATAAGATTCTTTTTATTTTTATATGATGCCAAATTAAGATGATTGTCGACTACAGATTTTTTGGCATAATTAACAACTATTTTGCAAGTGATATAAAGCATTTTATCATTTGATTCGTAAAAATTTTCTTTATAGTTATTTGAGTTTATATATTCTAGGGCTATAATTTTGGTTTTTCTCATCATTAAAAATTAAAGAAAAAAAATTATAATGTTCTAAATACTTAAATATTGATATTTTAACAATTACTAATATTCAAAATCTTTATTCAATAATTTGATATCAGTAATATCATACAGTTATAACATTCTAAATAATTAAATATTGATATCTTAACAATTACTAACATTCAAAATCTTTATTCAATAATTTGATATTAGTGATATTATAACAATTACAACAAAGATAATCATGTGATCACAAATTATTATTGTAATAATTATGTATAGTGCAAATATTATTCACTTAAAATTCATTATATAATGCAGTATAAACTACCTAAATATAGTAAAAATTGGTTATATTTTATATATCTATTATGTAATCACATCTGTTTATGGTCTCTAGAATGGAGTGATATACAATATCATGAAGTATATAGTTACTATAGCAAGTTAAGTAACGTGTTTGCAAAATCTTATATCTGATTGGACAATATGCTAAATGCAGTAAAATAGAAATATTTGTGCTTAAACATTACAAAATGCATCACAAGTACCATATTTATCTATATCTTGTATGTACCAGATATGTATATATATTGTGAAAGGCAGAATTGATGCAGGCTCTCTAAATATAGGCCTCATAAATATCACCTAATGCTAAACTAATCTAAATCAACACTCTAACAACTAAACTCTACCTAAACTCTAATGGTGAAAAGCATGAAAGAGGGTGTGAAAAAACTTTGTCTGAGTTATTAGGGCCAAATAAAGCTATAGACTATGTCATGAAGCTCTTATTCAGGATCACAAAAATTATACAATTCACTTATCAGTGTCTGAGTTATAAACTCTAAAGTGATCTGCCTTTATTAAAGGCAAGCTCAAAGCTCTTATATACTAAAATTTACAGACTAAAGATGAGTAAATTTACTCTCTTACTTTGCTTACTTTGCTTACTTTGCTTATTTCGTTTACTTCTCTTACTTCTCTTACTTTGCTCACTTTACTCACTTTTTTAACTATAAAAGGAGATCCTAACTAAAAATAGAAATCAAAAATAAAAATAAAAATAGAAAATTAAACACAGCCCAATTTCAGGTGGTGCTATACCAAAAATTATTTAGAGTCATAATTCACCCTTTTACATATTTCTTAACTTAATTTATAAGTCCTATAAATAAATCCTAATTCAACTTTAATATATAGCTGCTATGTTTATCCTTTTGATACTAATTTTATCTTTTAATACTAGGCCACCAACTACCTAGGCTAGATTAGATTTTAATATTAGATTTTTTTATTTTGAATAAGTTCTTTTATCTTGGGTGATTTATTTCAATTTAATTTTGATAGCAATATTCAATACTGTATTGGATTTATTCATAGATACACTTTGATATTTCTTTGGGGCTTCTTTTGAGACTTATCTAGTAAGTAATATAGATATTTTCTTTCTTCTTTTATCCCTTGATTAACTATCTTCTACTTTTTCTATTAGTCTTCTTAGTCCAATAAACTATCAAGTATTAATGTGCTCCATCCTCGCATATTACTGTTATAAACACCCAGATCTTTCTTTGTCATATCTATTAATCTAATTTGATTTCTCTATTTCTTAATTAATTGTAATACTTCTACAAGATTTTGTTATTATAAACTCACTGTATATTCTCTATAATATAATCACTATAATTATTTATTAATGTACTGAAACAATTCAAGAACAAAAGATTTCATAACCAATTTTATAGTAATTCTTTATTACTTGAATAAATTCTTGCTCATTTTTGTTGGAATTAGAATTACTTTAAGTGCAATATTGTACCATGTACCATTAATTTTATCGAACCAATGTGCATAGTATATAGTTGCAAATTCTTCCTTTTGCAATTTGATAATATCTCTGAACTTTTTATAATCAATTCCTGATAATTTAAATCTCTTATCATCTAGTATTCTCTTAAGTTTAGAATTGATATGATCTGGTAATTCATTAGTTCTCAGAAGGTTTCTATATTTTTCAGTCAAATAATTTGATTTTTGAATATTTCTTTTTGTACTGATTTCTTTCATATCAGATAATCTATTAAATAAAATTCATTCAATTGAATCTTTATATTTTCATACTCTAAGTTAGAATATTTTCATGCAATCTTCAATATCTTTATTTTCAATTGTCCAGCTTGTTGTATTAAAGCTACATAATTGACACCATGCTCTATCTTTTTCAACACTATTGTCATTAAATAATTTTTTAATATGCTCTATTTTTGCTGATTTTTAATAGTAACTGAATACCTTATATTCACTACTTGTCATCTGATTAATCGTGTTGGGTTTGTATAAATATGCTACTTTGTTTATTTCCAAGTTGATTTGGAAATTCACTATAATTATAAATGTGAGCTATAATAGAATGTTATTAAAGCCAAATAAAGTAATCCAAGACTTCATTTTGTGCTTAACTCTTTTTTTATTAAGTTTTCCAGCTTTAATTTTTTAGTAATCTGTGTCTTCTTCAATTTTTGTATCATTTTTATAGTTATATTTCTGATAGCTATTACTTAGTTGACTAGGTTAGTCTATCTTCATTTGTTGTTGATACTTAATAAGTGTCTAATATTTGTCTTGTTCAATATCAGTTTAGCATAGCTGGTTGTTGTTATAACTAATTCAAACCTCTTCAGCTTTATTAGAGTATTCAATCTTTTGCTAGTCTTACTAACAAGTATTTGTGCTTGTTTTTTATCTTTATCTGATTTCTCCATAACTTTTGATTTGACTTTTTCACAGTTATTCAAGCCTAGCCAATCTTTAGAAATTATATTATTACATAGATACCAATTTTCTTTATCATTATCTGAATTGTTATTAGGCTCAGTATTCCTCAGATACATTTTAAATTCATTAAGTTAACTGTTATTTAGGTCTGAAACTATCTTTTTGTAACTAGGTTCTTTATCCAATTTAGCAGTTTATAGCAAGTGGATGTCTTTTAATAGTTGTTTTGAACTTTATTCTTATCGATATAGTTCATTTTAGCCAATTTTTAATAACAATTTTCGAGATTCCACATAGTTCCAGTGTGATCTATATTTGCAGCTTCTGCTAGTTAATGATCACTTTGGGTTTATTCTTTTCAATTTCAATTCTATCAGCATAATTCTTTTCAGCAGATATTTGATAATTTACTAGAGTATTTTTTTTAACTAATTTTTTATTATTTGCTCTTCTTGACTCATTTTTCTCTTGACATTGACAAGAACCTAGTAGGCTATAGTCAAATGCAGCTTTATAGGCAGTTATCATTAGATTAGACAAGCATCTATTCTTTTTGTAATTCTCAACTCTGTTTAGCATTTCTTTTGTTTCTTTTATACTATAGACTTCCTGATTGTCAGCATTAATAGGACTTTTTTTGCATCAAGGCTTTTTTTAAGAAGCTTTCTTAGATAGGCATTTCTTCTTTTTTATAGTTGGGGTCACTTGAATATAAGGTAGTGAGTATATATTTGAAGCTTTATCAATACTTCTAAGATTTAATATATCTTCTATTACTTCCAGTATAAGCTTTAGAGCTTCAGAAATCTGTTCAACATTAAGGGTGTCACTAAAGTTTTCATTTATCATTTCTTAGTCTAAGTTCAACTAATTGTTCCAGGTTGTTATTATTGTTTTAACAATTCTTCAATATATTCAAGTATCTCTCCATCTATAAATTTCAGAGTTATTTCTTTTATTTCATCTTCAAATATTTCTTGTGTGATTAGGGCTGTTTTTAAGTATATTCATTTGTGTGTTGATTCAATATTTGATTCTTTAAGGAGTATTAAGTTTTTGTATTCTTTTAATAGTCTCTGTATTTTTTCTTTCCAATATTTTTTGGTCTTTGGTATTCACTTCTTATTGTTAACGGAGTCTTTGTAATCCTATGATCCTTTGATTTATTTGTGAATATATATATTCTGGTGTCATTCTACAATTTTTTAATTGTGATATTTCTCCTAGAGTTGTATACACTAGGTTATGGTTATTAATTCTATTAGCTATTGTGTGTTGGAGTAAATTATTGTGTTGTGGATTAATATATAAAACAGCGTTTCTTGTAAGTGTTTCTAAGAATGGTTGGTGTACAATTAAATCCAATTCTACTATTTCTCTAGTTCGTCGTGCAGTTTCTAATGCATTTTGTAAGAATATAGCTACTTTTGTTTCTTGTGTTTGAGGTGGTAGTAATTATCTAATTTGTCTTCTTGTGGTCATTCAAATTTTTTGATATTGTTTCATATATTATCCACTTAAGGTTTTTAGGTCTGGGTCCTCTTGGGAAATATTTCTTTGTGTTTATGCACAGTTGTTCACATGAGTTACACTGAGTACACGTTTGATTTTGGGCATTATATTTACATTTTACTTTCTTTTCTCGACAATAGTCACAGGCTTGTGTTGCTTATTTTTCTTTTCTTTTCATTCATTATCTGAGGTATCAGGTGTTTTTCTTAATGGTATTCCTTGGTCTTTTAGCGAGTCTTTTATGATTTGTTTTTCTTTAAATATTTTCATTAGTGTTGACTATAAATCTAATATTTTCTTGTTTATTTTATCAAGGTCTTTAAGTTTAGATGTTTTTTTACAAATTTCATTTATACTTTTACAAATTGTATATGGTATTTTTTGATTGCAGAATAGTTTATATGTTTTACTATACATATTTGCAAGTAAAGTATCATTCTTTTATTCTTTGTTTTTGAGTATACCTTGGCATGAGATTTGGTCAAGTCAATTTCCAAGCCTTTTTATAATTGTTCTTTATCTCTATTATTTACTTTGTTTATGTTATATTGTTACTTATAAGTCATTTTTTGTTTTTCTTTTAGTGTTTCGGCTGTAATAAATATTATTGATAAGATATAGTTATTTATACAATTATAATAAAACAGTAAAATGTTAGAAATAATAATATTTTAAAGATATTGTTACTAGTTTGGCTAAAAGATAAACTATTTTTGGTTAAGTTAACAAATTTCTGTTTGAGTACTAGTATTAAATTTTACAACTTTTCTAGTCTTTTCTTCAAGGTAGTCGAGTTTTCTTTTTAGTATTGTATTTTGGTTTTCAAGGTCTTTTAATTTTTGTTTCAATTGGTCATTTCTGTTGGTCAGTTTTAGGGTGTGTTTTTCAAGGGTTTTGACCCTTATTGTGGTTTCTTCATTTTTTAGTTAGAATCCTAGAATTATTTAAACTATTCCTGTAAGTCTTGAGCATTTTAATTTATTTGTTCTTGGTACCGATCTTGAGGTATTTCTTCATCATATTCTGTAATGTTTTCAGGTTCATAATGAAATTGGTCTTCGTCAATGGCAAGTCTTCTATTTTCTTCAAGTCTTTCTTCTTCTATAATAATTATTCTTGATTCTATTTCTTCAAAGCATTGGTCGCAATAGTCCTTTTTAAAGTCCTTATCCCCTTCTTTTTTTCTACTGATTGGCATTAAATATCCTTTACAGAGATCCATGTGATTTTTCCGTAATCCTTCTTCAAAGTTTTCTTTTTTTTTCTCTTTATAGTTTCTATATATTTTCTGCAATGAGACTTCTACTGCTTGTTAAATTTGGTTTTCTTCTCTGATTTTATTTTTTCATTGCTTGTTTCAAATATTACTCTTTCTGTAACTTCTGTTAATAATTCTATTGATTTAAAGTCATTGTATTCTTCTTCATGGTTGAGTTGTTGGTCCCAGTTATATAGATTATGGTAGGTTATGATGTCGGTCTCTCAGGTGTCTTGTAATTGTATAATGTTTAGGTTTCGCGCAACTAAAAAAAAAAATACTGGCCTAATAAGTCTTCGTGCAACTAAGACAATTCAAAAAAAAATTCTGGCTAATAAGCTTTGCGCAACAATTTTAAAAAAATCAAATCTATAACGTACAATCATAAAATATAAATATGACATATCATAAAATATAAATATACGTATCATAAAATACAGAAACATACTATAAAATAACTAATTTATTTATGAAACTGATCATAGTAAAAAAAAAATAATTAGTATTATTAGGATCATCAATATTCTCAAAATGGGTATAATTATGTTAATTGTTATAGTTATTCAAATTCCTGGTAAAATAGTAATACTGAAAATAATTAGTATAGTTAGTATAGTATTTATCATTAAAATCGATATTATTATTACATGTATGTAAGAAAAGTATATATAGCGATAAACTTCCCTGAAATAAAAAAACAACTCTTGGTCTCAAAACTTCAAAATTAATGTAGTAAAGGTATCCAAGTAGTGTTCAAAACCCCTTTCGTTAAGACATATCCCTCATAATAGTCATATATTCATATTTTCTTGTCCCTGTGACCCTGTCGACCCGTTACTGTAATTTGTTAAGAGAAAGAGAGAAAGATCGAATTAGTAATCAAGACCCCTTTTATATAAAAATTAATAGTGATTGCTTTTGTGATTAAACCTATTGTTGAAATAATACTTACGTAATTTGATTTTGATTGTAACTACGTAATCATATTTTAGCATTCACTGATGCTGAAATAAATCACATGTTCCTGTAACCTAAAAATAAGCAGTATACCTGAGATATAGAGAGAAGAAAGAAGAGATATTAGTATTGAACCCGTTAATAAATACAAGAAAAACATATTTAAAGTAAAGTAAGATACTTATCCAAATCCTAGAAGTATACCCACAAGACCCAAAGTCTCCAAGCTCGGACCAATTCTAACCACGCCTCGATCGTAGCCTACCAATTAGGGACTTTAGGTCTTGTGAAATATTATTTTAGTGTTGAGTTAGAGATTACACTATTTGTTGGTATTAGAGACAGAAAAGACTTTCACAATATATGTATGTACATTTCTATTATGATTTTTTACTATTGTACCAATTGTGCATTATCATTATGCAGGGTTTGAAGCACTTTTTTTTATCATCATCGAAACACTTTCAAAAATTTTATATGCTTTATTTTATGTAGGTTTTAAATACTTAAAGGCATATGCATTCCAAATATAGTAATTAACGCTATTGTACAAATATTTACAACACAGATTTCGACATAGGTTTCATCAATCATCATAGGTTTCGTTATAGGTTTCATCAATCGTTGTAAGTTTTATCAATTGTCATAGGATTCATCAATCTCCATAGGTTTCATCAATCGTCAATTCATCAATTAGAGGTCACCTAACGAAATGGTTTCATCAATCGTCAATGGCGAAGGTTTCGTTATTCGTCAGGCTTCTTTAGTTAGGGTAAGGCCTAAGTTGGAATTAGCAGTATTATATAGATTTTAATCTGATGCAGATTTTAATTTGATATACAACATATATATATTTAATAATAAGTATTATATAATTATTCTGTTACTTTATAGCAATAAATTTACTACTTGTATAAATATAAATTAATAAAATTTAGACAAAATATTAAGAAAAAATTTAATAAAAAAAATTTTTATTTAAAATATAAATATATAATAAATAAAATATATTATACTAAAATAAATATTAAAAAAATATATAAAATAAATATATAAATAAATATATAAAAAATAAATATATATAAAATAAATATATATAATAAATATGTATTAAATATAAATAATAAAATATAATAATTATAAATATATTAAAATTATTTTATATTTTTTGGTAACCAACTATATAAGCATAAACATGCTCTTGCAGATTCACTATTTAATCTATTTCTTGATTTACTAATTATTTGACCTGCAATTAAAAAAAGTTGTTCACATGGAACTGAACTAGCCTAAATATATAAATAATTATATGCAAGCTCTGAAAGTATTGGATATTCTACTGTATAAGTATTCCACCAATCTAAAAGTTTTATTGTTTCATCTGCTTCTGCATATAACCAATATTTTTGAACTTCATCATTTATTATTTGTTTTGGTTGTGATGTATATTTTAATTTTTGATAAAAACTTGATAATTTTTTAGATTTAGCTATTAGTAAAGATGATAATTGTTGATTTATTTTTTGTCTAATTGGTATTAAAATCTCTTCATCAGTCATATTAGAAAAACAATATTTTTTATATCTAGGATCTAAAAAAGCAGAAATATGTAAAGATTCAGGTATTAAATTAAAATATTCAATATATTTATATAATATAGCCTCATTAACATGGTGTAATAAAAAATTTTCACCTTTTTCAGATTCTAAATTATTTCTAAGAGTTAATAAAATTATTTGTACATGTGCAATTGTTGGATAAGTTTGTGATGAAAGTTCAATAGTAGCATCATTAAATTGTTCTAATAAATCAACTAAATTTTTATAAATTTTCTATTCTTCTTCATTTGGCATAAAAGTTTTTAAACTTGGATATTTAACTAATAACATTTCTATAGATTCATAAAGTAAATATGCTCTTTTAACCATATGATAAGTTGAGTTCCATCTTGTTTTACAATCTAAAATTAAAACTAAAAAAGGTTTATTATCTAAACTTATAATATTTTTTAAATCTTCAAAAATCTTAGCTGATTTATGGATTGTTTTAATTAATTTTCTTAATTTTTTAATTGAATACTCTAAAAGATTTAAACCAGCTAAAACTACTAAATTAAGTATATGAGCTATGCATCTATAATGACAAAAATCATTTAAATTTAATTTATCTTCTAAAAAATTTGTAGCTGAAATCATATTAGCACTATTATCAATAGTTAATGCAATAACTTTAGTTTTAATTTCAAATTCTCCAAGTAAATCATATATTCTATTAGCAATAATTTCTCCAGTATGAGATCCTTTAAATTGAAATATATCTAATACAAAGTGTTGTAAATTCCAATTTTCATCAATAAAATGAATAGTAATAGCTAAAAAATTTTCCATTTTTAAAGATGTCCAAAAATTTGCTGTAAGAGCTATTCTATTTGAAATTTTATTAAAATAATTTTTCATTAAATTTCTTTGATACCAAAATTGATTAATAGTTAACTGACTAATAGTTTTTCGAGTAGAAATTTGATAAAATGGATCTAATTTATGAATTATATTTTGAAAAGCTTTATCTTCTACTACTTTAAATGGTTTAAGAGCTAAAATAATCCATTTAAAAATTGCTTGAGTTTTTTCTACTTGAATTTTTAATGAATACTTTTTAATTATAATATTTGATTTCTCTTTTTCTAATAAAAATTATGCTGTTGTTGTAAATGATTACGAATAGAAGTAGTTGCTGTTGCTAAATTAAATATTTTAGAACATTTTGAACATTTTCGAGTTTCTTCACTTACATATTTCCAAATATCTGATTTAACTCTACTATAAAGTTTAACTTTTTGAGCTAATTCTAAATATTTATTCAAATTTTTTTCACTTATTGTAACTGCTTCTTCAAAACTTATATTTTGCAAATTTGGTATAATTTCTTCCTCTAGTTCAACTTCAATATTATCATTGTCCAAATTACTAATATAAATATCATTATCAAGCTGCATTTGTAAACTTTCTTCATCACTACAGTCTTCAGGAGTATT